CCAATCACATAGAATTAAAATTCAATGGGTATTTATCCAATCACTGCGTGAAGTGTAATTGTGACTATATTTCGCCGAATTGGCATTGCTCATCTGATGCTCAATTTTATTCAGTACCACTCTGTCGAGTTTTTATCAAGTTGACTGTAATACAGTCTTGGATTTGCCTTACTAGAAGGTAACTTTGCGGCCGGAAGCCGTGAAGGACGAACAGATGCATCGGTTGATGCATGTGAACAAGAGTCACTTTCGAGGTCGCATTGAACTCCTCTCGACTCAAATGAAATTGTTTGTTGCCTTCGTCGCTGCGTCTGCTGCCGCCTCTAAGCAGTCTGTGAACACCCTCTCGGCGGATGAGCGCTACGTGCTCCGCGCCGAGCTTGCCGCGTGGCCCAAAAGAGTTTGTACTTGCCGTCGCGGCGCAGGGGTGTGCTGCCCCAAGCCGTCAAGAGGACGCTCTCAAGCGGTTCTACGACAACAAGCTCGCGATCGAAGAGGCTAGCCGCAACAAGCCCAAGCCACGTTCGACTGCAACAATCCGTTTGCTCAAAGCAAGCTCAGTTCAATAAGTTCGTGAAGGGTTTGCCCCTGCAGGAAAGTCCGGGCACGATCCACTCGGTCCCCGAGACCGATTTGAACGTGAGCAGCGTCAAGGTGGCGTCGTGGACTGGACTACCAGCAAGTTTGGTGAGGTGACAAGCCATCTTCGATCACTGCCACCGAGTCCACTATCACCGAGTTTAGTACCACCGAGATTGCTATCACCGAGTCGACTGCAACCGTGCCCACAACTATCAAGCGTAAGGGCACCCCTACTACCAAGGCTATTCGTACCACACGCCCAAGCCTCATCTTTCCGTCTAGTCGATAACTCCATATCTTTTGCTACCCAGCTAACTACAGTCCGACGAACGTACGTAGCTGCATGTCACTCACGTTGAATAGACATTCTTCGTTAAATAGGACGTATGAATTCCGATGGATCTAGACAAGACAAGCCGTGCGTTGTAGAAAAGTCAAGTGACTGACACGAGGATAAAGCCAAGTTAAATGCCCACAGTGTTTCAATCAGATATCCACGACAAGCGTCGGTTCCTCATAGGGCCGCAAGTGGAATGCAGGCTCTCATCCATCGCGCCTACTCTCACCAAGCGTTCTCGAACCCCCCATCATCCTTCGCCCGCCACGCCTGCTTCACTACGAAGCCTAAACTTGCCACCAAGCGAACATGTATTGTTGCCATAGCTGTCGGATGTTCATGAATACCCAGCTTGAGGTTTGGCGTCACCAGTGTCAAGGGCATGCAGGTGATTCTGTACAGGTTTATGTCGTGTTACGCTATTCCAGCGTGAAGTCGTGGGACACGGTTATAAGTGCCCATTCAGAAACTCGAAGCAACTTTCGCAGCAAATGCAAACGAGTATTACCATTAAACCTTGTCCATTCGTCAATCTTGGTCCAAGGCAACGGAACATTGCACAACTCGGTGGCATAGTTGTCACATCATGTGGAGCCATAGTTGCGCTGTAGCAGTCGCAGTCATCCTTGGTGAAGTCGCGCAAGCAGCTGTCGGTGGATGCAAAGTTGCAGAAGCACTCTAGCAAAACTTGGGCGACATTTCTGGGGAGTGCTTCAAGTGCGACTCCTTGGAAACTCGAGCCATCGAGATACGACCAGTTAGTTTTGGCGACGTTGCCGGGGAATGCATCAAGTGCGGTTCGATGAAGTCACGAGCCATCGAGATACGACCGTACACTCCCGGCAATTCCTTTCTGGCACACTGGATGCCCCAGCTGGACAGGCCCACCAATATTTCCGTGCCGTTGATTTCCACAGTCATGGGTCCGCCAGAGTCGCCTTTGCACGCGTCTGCGCCGCCCTCGCCGCCCGCGCAGACCATGCTCTCGTCCACGACATAGCGAGACAACCACTTGGTGCATAGTTCGTCGCTAATCGTATCGACACCGACTTCCAACAACACGTTCGATTGTTCCCCATGAAACCTCGTGTATCCCCAACCACGGACGATCGTGGGGGTGCCCGCCACGACATTGTCGAACGAGACTTCCACAGGCGAGAACTTGGAGTCCCGTTCGAGGATCAAGATGGCAAAGTCGTACGATTCGGTGGTGCTGTTGTACTTGGTGTGGATGATATTCTCCTTGACCTTGATTTGTTCGCCGTCGCTCGTGCCGCTGAGGTAGTGCGACCCAATCGAGACGTAGTCGAGACCATTGTCCGTGCAGTGCGCCGCAGTCAGGACGACGTTGGGGGCGATCAAACTGCCGCCGCACTTGTTACGGTCATCCGCGGACGTTCGCAAGCCAACCACGTACGAGTGCTTCCCCTTGGCAGTTTCGACACCGCCGACAATTTCTGGTAGGGCGGCGGCGGTGGCGACGACGGCACACAGTGCAATGGCAACTTTCATGGGAGGAAGCGGAATGAAAAATGGCTTGACGAGAGCGCAACAAGAGGCGTAGAGGTACCCAGAGCTACGTTCATGAGATACACGTGAGACACCCCGATTTGATTCACCACGACTTCAAAGAGTTGGTGATTAGGTGACTGCTGCTCAGACGCAGCAGTCACCTAACGAACTCTGCCATGAGACAGATATCTTGACTAGTTCCCATCACAGATGGACATGGGCCACAATGGCCAACCCCATCCAAAAGTGGCATGGCCTGCACCTATGGCGTCACAACGTACGTTGAGAAATTTCATGACTGTTGGAAGGTCCATGCAACCATTGAGCAGAGCGGTAAAGAAGACCTGCGCCAATAATTCCATGTCCCAACGACACTGCCAAAGTAATATGCGATGGGGATCTCGACATGTCAGCGTTCGTTTCCTTCCTCGTAAGCCGATTCACTTTACCAACTCAGATTGGTTGTGACCACGCATCGAGTGCTTGGATGCAGCGTTGTTCGACTCCAGCGGTCTAAGAAGCTCTCGAGGGTCGTTTAGATGATTTACGGCAGATTCGCAGGCATGGCACTCCATTGAAACGATTGCAGAGGCTGTAAGGTCTGCGATCCAGAGAAAGTTGTTCGACGAGACTCCTCGTGCCAAGACAATGGCAGCCTGACTCTTATATCCAAACCGGGATGGTCCATGGGCAACGATCACAGCTAGGTGACGAGCATACTCCACGAATGCAGAAATAGAATGGAGTAGCTACGTCATGAATGTCTCTACGCCCCTCTGCACCCCTTGTCATCTCTTCAACTCATTTCTCCGTCGGCTTCCAACCATGAAAGTTGCCATTGTGTACCGTCCTCGACACCACCGCCGCCTCACAACTAGAAATTCTAGGCGGCAACGAAACTGCTGCCAAGGGAATGCACATGTACGTGACTGGTGTGAGATCGGCTTCGGGTAGAAATCAGCGGCTGTAAATTATTGTTTTCTACACAAGTTGATAGCAATCGTGCAACGTACGTTGTATTGAAATTTTTGTGAACAGCTCCCTGAATTTGGTGGGCTCACGCTGGTTTCCAGAGTGACCAATAGGGCATTTACCGTTGGTCGGCGACAGACACGTGTAGAAAGGAGGCTCGTTCCTTGTACAATTGATACTGCCACGATACAAGGTGCATGCGATTTCAAGCAGTCACCCAAGGTGCAATCGTCGCAGTTGTCGCCATCACTTTCATTTTCAGTCTCCGAAGAAGAAGTAGATCCAGTCGCATGCTTGTCGACGGAGTCCAAGTAGGCGGTCATATCCACATCTTTGCGATCTGTATCGTCAATGCAGTCGAAAATCATACCGCTTGGTAGGCGGTCAAATTCACGGTCTACTGTAGGAGCTCGAGCACATCAGGGAACTATGGCGATGCATCGTACAGTCGCCAAACACTTAGTATCAATTCATTTCGATCGATTATATCACTGTGATACGGCGGCGTAAAGACGTCTTTGTGGCCGCGGTCCGTGGCCATCTGCGCGATGACAGTTACAATAGACCACTCAACCAATTATTGGGTCACTGGCGCAACGTGTTGTAACTTTGGAAATCACGAAGTGACTTCGAAATTCATTTCATGCAAAAATGTGCGATGAGCTATTTCGTACTACCTAACTATTGCGAGCGGAATTTCAATAGTATAGTAAGATTAAGACGACAGAATCTTAATAAAATAGATTAATCGTTTATCCGCATGTGGCCCAACAAGTCTGCAACCTCTTCTAATCTTTCCTCTTCCTCAAGCCTCGTGGACATCATATCTAATGCCATCTCGTCTTCACAGCTCGTTTTACTGCGAGGAATCTTATACCTATTGTCACCTCCGCAGTCAATAATATTCATAACACGACGCAAGGTAGCGAATGTCCTTTCCAGTGTCGACGGCGCCAACAGATCGAACGCGGACTTCACAGCGGCAATGAGCTCGTCCATCGTCTGGCACTCTAGCGACTGTTGAAGGGCTTGAATAGAGTTGAAAAACCCCAGGTCTAAAACGTTTAGAACTGGGGACTTTGGTGGCTGGTTCAGTATTCGAATGTCCCAGCCACCAACACACGCAGCAGCAGCAAATGCAGCATCTTCAGGCGATATATGGGGGCGCGCGTTGTCTTGTTGCAGGTACACTAGTTCATTCGCCGTTGGCCATTTCTCCTTGATCGCTGGCAAAACTTTGTTTACGAGTAAATCGCGGTAGACATCGCGCGTCACATTGACGCACCGCAGCACCACTGTTCCTGCCGGCCTGTTTACGCTGCTTCGGGCGGCCGTCGTTCGCTCCACGATTTCCCAGCAACCAACCTTCCCGTCCCATCCTGGTCGGGGCCTCGCGACGGCAACCAGAAAAATCACCTTGGTGATATGCGCCTTGGACTGGATGTATCGCGGCAGAATTGTCTCGTCGTGCCATACGAGGAATCGACGACGAAGCTTTGTCAGGTAGAACCATTTCTCGTTCAAATGCACCACGTTGGCCATGTCATGATCACGGCCATGTGGTGCATTTGAACGAAATTGGGCACAAAAGTCGCGGCGGGCCAACTTCTGCTCGGCCGTGAGATGAGGCCTTGTCCAACTTGATCGTCTTGTCATCCACTTCTTCTTGACAAAGGTCCACAAGACGTACAAAGAGA